GAGCTGTTCGCGAACAACGAGCTGTTTTGACAGCCCTACTCACAACCACAACACACGGCACCCAACCACAGCCCAGAACCCACACCTCAATGAGCACTCTCTTTCATACCATATTTTAAATTTGAGGCAATGACACAGGCCACCTGAAACATTGTTATCTACAAATGAAGCATCATCTTTCATCCATTTTTCAATTCATATTTCAAACATTAAAAAAAATGTGTAGTATTGAATAGAGGCAATTGCAAACAAGCCACTCGAAAGAATGCTATGCACAAATCAAGCATCCTTTTACATCCATTTTTCAAATTGTTGCTCAAACAACAAAGATATTGATAAAACCACATCCGATATTTTTATTGAAGGCAATTACATACAGAGCACCCGAAAAGCTGCTATCTACAAATGAGCACCCTCTTTGATCTGTTTTTCAAATTCCAAATCAAGCACACACTTTCATCCATTCTCCAAATTCCATCGAAAAATCGAAAAACCGCATAATAAAAGCCATTCCATCGAAAAATTGCATAAAGAAAGTCATTCCATTGAAAAAACGCCAGAAATCGCATATAGAAGGGCATTCCATCAAAAATTACCTGCATAGCACAGTAACCAGAGATTGGAGGGAGGACGAAGAGGTGAAATGCAACGCTAAGTGCGAGAGAGAAGCAATTGAGGGAGAGAGGCGAGAGAGGCAGGCACCTAGCGCAGAAATCGGGCAAAGGAAAGTGGTCGAGAGGGGCACAATCGAGAGGCGCATGGTCGAGAGATGCGGCGGGGTAATAGTCATGCAAAGGAAAGAGGGCAGCAAGGATCGAGCCCCCAACCGCATTTATAAGAAATATTGATCGGATTATTACGATAAGCAGCACCAACACAGTAACCAAACGGGCAAGCCAACGTTTTCAAAATGCACCGCACCAAATAAGTTGCCCAAAAGGGCCCTTAGTGAGTCTAGTTTCCCCTTCATTTTGTCTTAAATCCTAAATTTAGTAAATCCTGGAATTGATTGGATTTAGCTTACATCCATAAATCTCAAGAGTTCTTCATTGCTCCAATCAATACTTCTCTACCGATCTCCCATAACAACTAATTCCCCTTCTTTGCTATCAAAGGTTGCACAATGGGATAAAGATGAGGGTTTAAAATGCCACGATCTCATCACCACATTCGCCAGCAAGCTTTAGTCAAAGCTTAGTGTTTTTTTTTTGGCATAGAGGATCTTAGATAGAAGAACTATTAAGCAGCTAGAAGATGGGTAATGGAAAAATTTTAACTTTATTTTTTAAATTAACTCATTAATAAGCATTATTTACTCATAAAAATATTAAGTTAACTAAATTAAGATTAACAAATTAAGCCAATCTTCTTAGGCCTAATTAGATTGATGATTTTTTAATTATTGCATTATCAAAATACTATATTAGACAATCTATAATTAAATAATACAAATCAATTAGAAATTAGTCATCAAATTCAATCAATGAATAATTATATTAATAAATTATTTGTTAAAAAGTAAAATAATTAAGAAATATATATATATATATATATTAAATTAGAGTAACACATTTAAATCATAAGAAAATCGTCAAACAGTTTCACATTTAACATATGTAATGCTTATAATTTTTTAGATTTAACCACAACAAGATTTACTAAATTCAGATTTAAAAGATTTACTAAATCCTACAAACTTAAATCCAATAAATGACTTCTAAACAACCCAATAACTTACCAAACAGTTCCTAATCGCAAAATGCAAGCAAACCAAACATCCCCGATGTAAAATTGAAATAAAAAAAATCATCAAGGAGGAGAAGAACCTTGCCTGATTGAGATTGTCGCCGCGAAGATGGGCTACAATCAAGTCATTGATCTGCCGCCTGAGCTTCCCTTCCTGAAGAGCATTCTCGAGGTTCGCGTCCATTCGCGGACTATCACGGCTCGAATGAAAATCACCCGTCCTAAGAACTAAAACCTAGACATTCCAAAGCAAAATTCATTCAAAATTCGCCAATATGAACTACAACTTTAAGTCGCCGAGCACCAATCCGAGCATCGAATAATGGGGGCAAAAAAAAAAAAAAAAAAGGGATTTCGAAAACCTAAATTCATGCCCTACCTTTGCTTGTCCGCAACAAGCGGGCCTTCTTCGCCTGGGGATAAATAAATCAAATAAATTAAAAATGGGAAATTTATATACATAACACCCAATTCATATGGAACTCTCCTACCTAAATTTTTATTTTTGAACATTATTTATGAATGTGATGGTTGATTTGACTAATTAAAATATAATAATGAGTACAAATTTAAATATAATATACATAAATATTAAAATTTTGAATGTCATGTATGTAAATTAGAGTAATTATTAATTCTCTGATTTTATTAGGGTCGTTAAATTTTAATTAATGGGCACCTTATCACCCTGTTCCTATGTATTTATATATAACCAACAACTTATTTTTTATTATTTTACATTCATACAACCCCAATGTTATTCACGTCAAAAATATCACATTTCTAACCTAAGAAGAGATCGAGTACACAGTAATAAAATTGGTGTATGTGTCGCTCACTGTGAATCTTAGGTTGGCATCTGCGAAATCAGTATTGAGTCTTTTGGGGCCCAAGTGTTGGGTAATGTCGAGAACCGGTCAATCACAGTTTAATTAGTTTTCTAAGTAAGAATCTCATATACTGCTCACTTAATTTCTCACTTACCGCTCACCTACCACATCTCACATATCACTCACCTACCGCTCTCCTAGTTTCTATAAAAAATCTCTTATAACTTGTCATAAGTCAAGCTAAACAAAGCTAAGTCAAGCAGCCTCTAAGAGAGAAAGAGAGGAAGAGAGAGAGAGATGAATGGAGAGAAGAGAATAGAGATTTTATTGTAAACATCGAGACGTTCGACGGTATAATTCCTCGAAAAAATAAAATCATCTGCAACTCCTTCGACGTTGGCAAATTTGTCGAACTATGTAAACATATGTCGCTCTGGTGTTTTTTTTTTCTGCATGCAATTTTCTCGTCCCATTTTTCGTTTTATTGTCGTTATTTTTCACAATAATTGGTATCAGAGTTTTGGTTCAGATCTAATGAGGAACGATGGCCGGAGACGAATGAATGACATCGGGGATCGAGAAGTTCAATGGCACGAATTTTGTTTACTGAAGGATGCAGATAGATGACTACCTCTATGGGAAGAAACTTCATCTTCCGTTATAGGGAAAGCGACAAGAAAAGATGGACGAGGTGTAATAAAATTTGTTGGATCGACAGATTCTAGGGTTATTTGATTAACCATGTCGAGTTAGGTTGCCCACAACGTCATCAAAGAGATGACTACTACAGACTTATGACGGCTTTATTAGGTATGTATGAAAAGTCATCGGTGAATAGCAACGTGCACTTGATGAAATGTTATTCAACTTGAAGATGACATAATGTGTGTTTGTTGCTCGACACCTGAATGATTGCAACATTATCATAAATCATTTGTCGTCTGTTTAAATTGATTTTGATAATGAGATATGTGCGTTGATATTGTTGGCTTTATTGTCAAATAGCTGAGAAATAATGAGAATGATAATTACCAGTTCTGCAGGTAAATTTTAGCTGAAATATGATGATATTCGTGATTTGATTTTAGCTGAGGAGTTGCGCGGGAATGATTATGACAAGACATTATGTTCAAGTTCGACTTTGAATATTGATTTCAAAGGGAGATCACATGACAACAACTGAAACTGAAGAAAATCAAAATCAAAGTATGGTCAGCAGACAACCTGTCAGAATTGTGGCAAGACTGACCACATAAAAATAAACTGCAGGAATCCTAAGAAGAAGGAGAATGATGACGTTAACGTTACATCTGAAGAAATACATGATGTGTTATCGCTGACAGTTCACAGTTTTATTGATGATTTAATATTGGATTCAGGGGCTTCCTTCCATACATCTTCCGGTCGGGAGTTAATGCGAAATTATGTTGCAAGTAATTTTTTAAGGTATATTTGACTAATAGAAAAGCTCTGAACGTGGTGGAGATGAGAGACATTGATATTGCACTCCTAACAAGAGGAAATGAACTTTACAAAATGTCTGACATGTTCCAAAGTTGAAGAAAAACCTCATATCTGTTGGGCAGCTCAATGGGGGTGGTCATTCGGTGGTGTTCTCAGATAGTACCTAGAAGGTTACCAAAGGAGCATTAATATTGACTCGGAGTAAGAAAACTAATACACTATATATGACTACAAATTTACTCAGCACGATGACACATGAGTTAGAGGTGCATTATTGGGAAGCAGAAGAATGTTAATTTCCTCAAAAGGGCAGAGCACCAGAGACAGGAAACCATATCTTGTACAGATAAATGGTGAAGAACCATAAAGCTATGAAGAAATCTTGTAATATGAGAATTCGAGCAAGTGGGAGCTGACGAAGAAGGAAGAGACAGATTCATTGTCAGGGAATCAGACTTGGTCGCCGGTAGAACTTCCACCAAGGAAGAAGACATTAGACAATAAGTGGGTTTACCCGGTGAAAACTGCGTTTGGTGGCAGTAAGAGTTACAAGACTAGACTTGTTGAAAAGGGCTTTCAGCAGAGGCTGAATATTGCTTGTGCAGTGGAAGTTATAAGCAGATACATAAATAACACATGAAAGTGCTTGGTGGTACAAAACAACGTTGACAATGATATGTCAGCTGAGGGTGTTACTCGTGTGAAGCTGAAATTGTGCTTGATTTTAGTTGGTCTTCTAACAAGAAAACTAGGGATTTGAGTTGCAGAGGTGAAATATATCATGTTTGAAGAAAAAGTAGGTACAGCTAGTAGACAATTTTGCCGAACCACATATATTTGTGTCGCTCAGGTATTTTTTTTTTCTGCGTGCAATTTTTCCCATTCAAATTTTAACTTTATTGTCATAGTTTTTCACAACACTGAGTGCATATGACTTGTAGCACGAGATCGAGTAGGTAGACATATTAGGGTGGCTAGAGGCTCGTATCACAACATCCGATCATTCATATATATCTGTGTGAGAGAGAGAGAGAGAGAAATAAATATAATTAGGAATTAAGTGGCATGCATGTAGAACTTCCTTTAATTAATTGGGTTCACTATGTTATATTCAAACTAATTGGACTATATTTAGCTTAAAAATATTGCATAATTTAGATTTTAAATGAATTTAACTATGCTTGATTTGGATCAGATAATTTGATTAGCAAAATAATTATCCCCGACATCGTAGTTGAGGTATAGTTTTCCGCCATGAGGTCGCGAGCTCGAATGATATATATTACATTTTGGGCTCATCTTTTTCGAAGAAGTGCAATAAATTAGATCTAAATTTGGATGTATAAGCATATTATAAAAAATATATATTCCTAAAAAAATTAAAGAGAAATTATCGAGTTCTCAATACCGAGGAAAAGTAATTTCTTATTATAGCAAATTAATGGCTCGTTTGGGGAAGCTTATAAGTGTGACAACGTTTTTTAAAACGCCACATAACTTTTTAGTTTGCACATTTTTTAAAACACTGTCTGCCGCGTTCATATTTTTTACACTAAACACAGGCCGCGGGTCGACCCCAGCGGTTGGTTGACCCGCGGGCCACGTTTCAGGATAAACTGCTTATCCTCAAACGCACAAGCTGCCCCACACATACCCTTAATCATAATTTAAACAATTTATTATTTTTTATAAAAGAGCTCTAATTCCATGTAACCAAGTTGAAAGGAGAACAATTTTTTTTTATATATATTTTTTGTAACATCTTACATGCATTTGATTTCTATGTTTAGTAAACCAATAATTTGTTCATATTGTTTAAAAAAAGGGGAACATCGTACATATGATCCAATTCGTATCAGTTTGTGCATTTAACACCTAAAGTTTACTTTTTTTACATTCCACCAAAATTGTTCATGTCACCACAAAAAAATCACATAGGAATTGAATGGTATATATGTAGATATATATATTTTTCTTTCTTTTTAATTAATCTATAATCTATATTAGTGGAGAAAACATTGACTCCAGAGTCCGGACACACAAATATTGCATCTAGAGTTCGGACATAGTTTTGTAAGGTGGGGATCCATTTTCACGAATTAAAAATATATACATATGAAAAAAGGTTTTTTTCGTGTGACTCGACTAAAAGACCGTCAATTGCATTGAATACCCGACACTCAAAACCAGAGGTAGACCTATGTAGAGTATACGGGGCAATTGCCACCCGCTTCAAATTTAAATTTTTTACTTATATGAGATGACAATTTGACATTTTGTCTCTCATGAAGTATCACTTTTGTCCCTCCTGCAATATTACTCTGCTTATTTGTTTCTCTAACTGCTCCCACATCCCTAATAAAAGACTAATTTTGTCGCTGCTTAGGAAAATATATGCCAAACAAAACCCATACCCGAATCTCTTTTTATGTAGGGGCTAAATATGCAAATAAATCAGAATTGTCTCACACTCAATTTATTCCTACATTTTTTTAGTCCCATGTAGGCGGGAAATATTTGCATACAGCCTTGGCACTATTTAAATACATGAAAATCTAACTTTAGCTAAAGGCCGGGAGGCCCATATCCATGTGGCCCGCGTGGCCTGGAACACAGGCCTTTTCAATCAACAAGACAAACGAGCAACTCATTACGGACAGGTATTCATAGGAATGGGCCGAACGCAAATAATATCTCACATATTCAGCCCATTTATACCCCAAAATACGAAGGCCTGTTTATTTTATAAATAGAGCCTAGATTTTTCCTTACGTTGACTTTTACTAGGCTTTGCGTGTACAAGTCAATAAGATGATGGGCTTTTGTCTGAAATTGCGGCGCCTTGGAAGGCCATTTACAAATAAATTAACATTAAATTACATCAAATATCATAATTTTACAAAAAAGACCCTATTATTTTTCATTAAATCACCCAAACCGTATGATAGATAAATAATATAATATATTGTTAGACATGTAAGAATTTGACCATACATAGATTGGATATGACATCATAAAATTATGTTTTCCAAAATGACGTTCATATAAACAAAGTTTTCATTTATATTGTGCTAAGAGGGTGTATGTGGTAAAAAATTTACCATATATACATATATACGTATTGTCGTGTATCATGACTTATTGGTTGGCATCCATTGTATGTGACCCTTCAGTTCGGGGATTTGAATCCCTTTTTGACATGGTTGGCCTTAAGAAGATGCTACTCGAATTGTTAGACACATTAGAGGTGGCTGAAAGCTCGTATAATAGCATCTGAACATTTCTTTGTATATAT